GAGTGGTAGATCAGTTATTTCAACAAAGTCTGCTCTAGCCAGAGTCAGTGTTTTTGGACTGATTGCATTCAGCCTTTAGTGAAAGCAGGCTTCTCTCACTCCGACAGCAGAGCGGCCACTCGTGGGCTCAGAGCCCTTCGGCTGTGCCTCCTCTCCTCCATCAGCAGCGACGGCCTCCTCTTCCCTGTTGGCGTGTGGCAGAGCATGCCATCGACGGTCTGCTGGGTCACCTGATCAGCCTGCTCCAGATCTTTCACTATCTGCTCCACCTCCAGCATGTGTGGACCGCCTTCAATCCGCAGGCGCAGCAAATCCACCTGAAACAGGTCATAGGACGCCACTGAGCTCACTAGCGGTTTTTCAGAGAATTACATATTCATATCCGTAGCTTTTTCATTTTTTATCTTGGGTTAAAATCCTTTAAACCACAGAAAAAAGCATTGACATTAATATTAATTGAAATGTGTAAAATATTTAATTAATGCACCCATAGATATCTGGATTTATTTTTTAAAGTTGATATGGAGCAAACTTACCACCTCCTGCGAAAATTCAGGTTTCTTGACAAAAGAAAAGCTCTTTGGCGTCAAGGCTGCAGACAGCAAGGATATGATGTCTGTCACTTCTCCTGACATTGCTAGTATGATAAGCTAAATCAACATTTAAAAGAAGAATATATTATTAACGGTCAACATAAGCAACAACTAGTTAAGTACAGCATAGTTAGGATGCAGACTTGCCTTTAAATTTTGACATAATAGGCTGTTAGGAGCCATTATTTGTGAGAACAACGACTGTGCCTTTTCTATGTCGTTCTGGAACCAAAAGAAAGGAAAACATATATTATTAATGACAATTTTATATTTTCACATCTCTGTGCATGAAAGAAAGGTGTGAAGAAGATCTTACTAACCTGTCGAAGTGCTAACGCTACAGCAAAGCAGAGAGCATGTCTGGAGATTTTCATCCCTTCAGTCTGTCCGCTCTCGATCATAGCAGTGCACATCCTGTAGGACTCTTCCGTGTTCTGAACAACATAACACACAACTAAATAACGGCAAAGAGATTGTACATCTTAAAACAATAACCGATGTATATTGGAACAGTAATGTTAATTATCTGTACATGTTGATTGGTTTGTTTTACCAGTTTATAGAAGGTGGCAGATGCCAGCGTGAATGTGTTTAAGTTGAATGGTACAGGTTGTTTCCTCATGGTGGTTAGTACCTCTAGGAAATCTGCAAAAGGCAAAGTTTGATATATTATATGTGATTATGTGAAAAATAAACACTTGAAGGTTAATCTGTCACATACTTTCATAATAGCCTTTAGTGAATAACATGTCTAAGGTGATGTTGAAAGACGTTGCTTCGCTGAAAAATCCACTCATACTCTGTTCAGAAAAGTAAAATGAAATGTTATTATTCCAACACTGTCTGATTTAAACTTTGTCAATAGTACCATAACAAATGTTTTTTTTTTTGTTTGTTTTTTACCTTATCCGTAATTGTAGCAGCAGCCAAGTCCTCCATACCCAGCTCATAGCACAGTCTCACAAAGAGAGGACCAAACCTGAAGTCTCCAAACATTAAGTTCCGGTTCTCTGCGTGATACCTAGTGATTGCAAATTAAAGGATAATAACAGATTAGATAAAATAATAAAAAAGGGTATTTATTATTTATACGGATATTAATGTGCAGCATTTGCATTACAAAATGGAAAGATTGAAAATATAAGACAAAAATAAGGACATGTAATAGCTACAATTCTAAAATTAGTGTAATAACATATGAAGGTCAAATAGATGTGCTTGTACAGTATCGAATTGTAGGTCTCAGTAGTGTAATAGTAGGAGGACATGGTTAAAGAATAATTAATTATATAAATGACATTGCACTAATGTCATATTATGTCCTACCAGTCAGTGGTAAAAAGTTGAGTTGTAATAATACAATATACATAAAATTGATGATGATAGTCAAAGCCATTGTAGGCATATTTTAGTTATCTTAAGTGAAGTTGGTAGCATCTGGTTTTGTTCAGTTTAATATTGGTTACGGCATTTTGGAGAATAAAAAGAGGATAGCACAATTATTTGATGCTGTAATGGATGCTTGAAATAACTATCAATACAGGATGTACCATACCTAGAGATGGCATCTCTGGCGATCAGCATGTCATCTGCGGATTGGCACACGTGAAGGAGAAGCTTCAGCTCATCTTTCAGAATCAGGTCATTCCTCTGTAGCTTCTGACTGAACAGCTCAATATAATTTCCTGTAAAATAAAGTAAAGATATAAGCTCTTACTTTGTGGATCATAATGCAGGACATAAAACTGCAGCTTTAGAAAGATTAAGAATAAATAGTTCACCTTTAGCTCCAGTGAGAAGGTGAGCCACAGCCAGCTTACTTTGCTGGAATTCTTGTAATTTGATAACTTCTTGTGATAACAAATGCCTCTTAGCTGCAAAGAAAAAATACAGTGTTGAAAGAAGAATTCAGATATTTTAATTAATCAAAGTAACAAAACTACAGTTTAGAAATACCCCTAGATTCCAAATTCAAAAGCAAGTATTAGCACCAAAATACTCAACGTACCAAAACATTTCCCATATCATTAACATATTTATCATACTATAGGATTATAATAATTAGTGATGCATTAATGTGCGTATCATTTTGATATTGCTGCTAGTAAATGTGAAACTCATTTTATAAATAGGTTGTTAGCTTGACCTGTTTTAATATAAATTATGTATTAGTTTATTCATATGTTGTATTTATTGTATAATTATGTTGTTATTGTATAATCAGTATGTAAAGTACAATATTTACTTACAAATATAGTAGAGTAGAAGTAAAGAATTAACGTTTTGCCTACCAGTCCCTCACACTTCTACTGAAGTACATTACAAGTTAATGTACTTTCCATCATTGCCAATAACTCAAAAAAATCAACTCAATATTGAGTAAGCTTATACCTGTATTACGAATGTCCAAATGTAATGAATGAGACGGACATACAACTGCTATACAATGCGAGTAAAACTGCAGGTACACCGTGTTTTGGTGGGTTTTTATGACGCATTAAAGACATTTACAGGCAGCTGTAGTATCCTTGTTATGTACATGCTGCCAGTGTAGCATCTCTGTCTGTTAAACCAGCTAGCTTTGAAGGTCACCTGACAGGAAACATATTGAAAAGTTGTGTTAAATGTACCTCCTGTGCAGCATTCAATCCACCCTGGCTGTAAAACTCCAACAAACAGTCCTTTCGAAGGTTCATGTACCAACGACCGACATAATTTACCAATCCTGGCCAGCGCCATCATGGATATATAAGTAAGAACTGGAGTGGATACAATATGGGGAGGCGGGGTCTCGTTCTTTCCTATGAGAGCTGCTAGAGAGGCGAAGTCCCGCCCATCTACTTCCGACCCATGGGGCCTTCGGAATTCGGAAAAATTATGTATTGAAGTCAATGGGAGAGAAAACTTATCTTTCGATCCCGTTTGAATTGTGCCACGAATTATACATATGATGTTTGTCAATCTTAAAAAATAATTTCCATGTCAAAAAAGTCACAGTTTGTCATAAAACTGTTGAAATATAAGACTAGGAAAAATACACAACTAGAAAGACTACAAATCCCAGAATCCCGGTCCTGCATGCTGGCTCTTACGGACAGTGGCGGAGCCAGGACATTTTCTGTGGGGTGGCCAGGATGGAACCAGTGATCATTTTGGGGTGGCATTGAAATCACTATTATATGAACATAAAAATACATCTCACTATAAAATGAGGGGTTGTTTAAGGCACCTACAACACACCGCTACATTAGATCAAATAATATTCAGTATATCTAACTATTTTTTTCTTATTCCCACGGGCAAAGTATCAGCGAAGCTTACATTATACAAATATACAGACTGTTTAGCTTATGGTGATCAGCAGCCCTATGAGCTCATTCTCTCAGTGTACCATCCTAGTACCAGGAGTATAGTACTAGGAGCAGTGGGCAGCTATTGTACAGCGCCCGGGGAGCAATGGGAGTGAGGGGGGAAGGGGGATGTCCGGTGCCTTGCTCAAGGGCACCACGGCAGGGCAGGAGGTGAACTGGGACCTCTCCAAGTAGAAGTCCACACTCCAAAAGTAGGTCTGGTCGGGGACTTGAACCGGCGACCCTACGGCTCACAGTCCAAGCCCCTACTGACTGCCATAGATTTAGTCCCTAATTTTGCTCTCAGTGCACCAGATTGATGCATTTAACTTCAACATTTAAAACATGTGGACCCCCTAGAGGAGGTGAGGTCCACTACCTGCCCACACCCCCTGTTAAATTGTCTCAGCCACATTGAGGATGCTTCCTACGCCCATGTTTTATTCCATGTGTCAAGTCAGGCAAATTGGGTCAAAATGTTATTGCATCAATGATCTGTTAACATTAAAATCACTAAATATATGCTGTAACTATTTTGCTCTAGGCAACCCAAGGGCTCAGTTAATACGATTACTATATGAATAATTGTCCAAAATAACATAAAATGCATAGGGATTTTTGTTAAGTAACATACTTTCGTCGCCGGCCGGCCGATACATGCCGCGCATTAAGTGGGCCTGTCTGTCAATTAATCCCCGGGCCACTTTTTCCCCCCAGTCTGCCCCTGGTGCTAGGTTACATTAAAAACCTACAAACATATCATCCTTCAGAGCAAATTGGTTAGAAGAAACTGTTCTTCAATCGCCCCAAAGTTTATGTCATGAGATTTTCAGGTCTTGACAGCATTTTTTAATTGAGTCGAAAAGCTGTATGACTTTATGAAAAATACCTTTTAACATGACACATGAAGTGTTGGCATTTCCTGTTGATTTTTTCACATTATTAGCTTGATAACAACATTGAAAAATAAATTACTTTTATAATGAATTTGACCTCTTATCAAAGATTCCTTTATTTGTGACTTTGTCAAACTATGTTTTAATTTGTTCGCTTCAAAATGCAACCCATGCAGGAAAATTGTTTTGAGTGTGGTTTTCTACAAACAGTATATTTTGTTGTTATTGTTTAATGTTCATGTTATTTTAAATATTAATACTTTGAATTTAGTCACTTTCTAATTTCTTATACCATTAACTGTCACTTTAGGCAGACTACTTTAAAAAGCTGTGTGCAGCACCGAGGATCAGCCGGCTGAGGGGAAAGGAGGTTTATGATGCAAGAGGACAACTCTCCATTGAGGCAGATGTCTTCTGCATTGTCTGCAACAAAGAAAAGGTAAAACTTATGAGTACATTTGGCCTTTAATTATATAATCAGCACCAGCTATATATTATTTCCTCACATCAGATGCTAAAATATAACTTCCTGCTTGGACTGTGGCGGCCGCTGATATTGCAGATTAGATATTCAGTTCAGGGAATGCATCGAGCGTAAAGATTGAACAAATAAAGGTTTGACAAAGAAGATGGGATTCATTAGTGGTGTGCCGATGGTTTGAAGTGACAGTGAGGGATGTGAAGAGGCAGCTGGAGGCAAGAAGCGAGCAAAGACGATACCAATCAGAAAACCGACCCTGACCTTTGACCCTTGCCATTTCAGTTTTTACTGTATCACAAAAGCCCGAAAGATGAAATGTGACACGATGAACCGAGATCAAGCTGAGGACACATAACCAGGGCTGAGCCAACGCTTTTACTCAACAGTATTACTGAGTGCTATCACACCATTGTCAGAAGGAGGGGGCCAGTTCCTCAGTGCAATGACATATTATGATAATTATAATAACTAAATCAAGTCTTTTCCTTGTAACTTTACTTACATAGCCTCAAGCTACAAATCACAATTTTGCCTTTACCATTTGCAAAGCATAGGACACCATCTGTCCAAAGACACTGTTCGTAAATCCTATGTTTTGGATAATCTATTCAAATACCAAAGATTAAGATGTATAACAACACAAAAACACAAAACAATTTAAGAGAAAGCTATTCTAAAATAATGTTGTTAAAGGTGAGGTTTTTGTAAGAAATGTGCCTGTATTCAGCGTTAGATTATACAGGTGTTTGCCTGCAAAGCCCACCCCCACACACTACTATTACCACTGCTAACAAAGACTACCAGAGGATTTCAGGCTGAATTCGGGCTTATATGTTGTTAACAGGAAATCCTATGTATACCTAAAGGTAATCATCAAAACCTTAACACCTAGTGTAAGCCATACAGGAAACTAATGTAGGGCTTTTATTTCATTGGCGTAATAAGTATTTTTTCTATTGAATCTTGTGAGTAGGAAATAAATTGCTTAGCCACTAGAAGCTTGGAAGTTTTGTATTGATAGCTGCAGAAATGTGAGGTATATATGTAAATCACATGAAGATCAAATTAGGCTTTTGTCAATGATTACCGGTATAATTTTGAATGAAGCTTTATTTTGGAAGACCTAAGTGTCAGGAAATGAAAATATAAAAAAAAAAGAATTAGTTCACTCATTTCGGAGGCCAATCCAGCGGAACCCAAACACATCCCAATCTTTTCTCTCCATTTAAGCTGACTTAATAAATGTTTTTTTTTATTAAGGCACACAGCTTTGCTCCAGGGTCATGATGGGGGGGGGGGTGCTATTGTCAGTCTGCACCATTAGCACTAATGTGTAACGACAGCAAAAAGCAGTGCAAGTGGTCTGTGAAAACAAGGGTGTGCTGGGAAGAGGATGTTGCGGAAGACGAGGGATGAGAAGGCGATACAAGATATTAACCCATATTAACCCCCCCCCCCCCC